TCAGTCCAAGGCGTTTTAATTATTACATGCTGAACGCAGCAGTATGGTTTTATGCTTAGGAGCAGTCTCTGGAGTTAGAGTGCCTGGGTAAGAACCTGGCTCCACTGGCTAAGTCTGTCACACTGGATCAGTTCTTTAATTCCCCTGAGCTTTGATTTTTATCATCTGGAAAGTGGAGATTACAACAGCATGTACCCCATGCATCTGTGAAGACTGAAAGAGAGGAAAGGAACAAATAGTGTTGGCACATAGTAAGTGGGCAATAATGTTAGTTGTTCTTATTAAGAAAAGTCAGAATAGCACCCTGAAAAGGAGGGGGAAAAAAGAGTAGAGATAGTTATTTGGGCTAAGGCTGTAGTTCAAAATGTCCTAGAGCTTCAAGGTATTATTATCATGCTTTCAAAGACTTCTCAAGTAATCACAATTCTGGATTAGCTTTAGCATATGCTCTGACCTAAATGATGTCACAATCTCTAAGCATCTTCACCGATCAAACTAGCTATATTTCCTTCACATCAAATGAAGAAATAACTCTGAAAATGCTGCACATAATGACAGGACTGTACAAATATGAAATGTGTATTATTCCTCTCAATAATGATATTCACTTTCACCACACAATCCACGTCAGCCAGTTTGGACTGTGATCTGTCACCTATAAGGTATGTTAACAAGCAGGAAACAGGGAAGTAATGAAAAGGCCTCTTCTAGAAATCCTAAAATTCATTCCTAAAAAAAAAAAAATCTTAAAATGCAAAAAAAGAGCTAACAGGTAGGAAGGAAAAAAAAAGATCAATTTGGCTTTTGTAGCCACCAAAAGACTGAAACTCATTAAGAATATCCAGGGAACAGGGAGAGATGGTCCTAGTATGTCACTAGGTTCAAACTTTTCTGGGAAGGAATGTACCTCACATGAGAGTCAGTGGTACATTTTCTGTCAAGGATTTGGTGACAATACTAAGACCATTTAATACAAATAGCATTAAAATTCAAAAGGTTGAGCGATAAAGACAGGGCTTGGGAATCCTGGCAGAAATTTTCTTTTTACTTTGTAAATTACATAGAAATTTTAAATTTGCTTTTTTATGAGCATATTTTTTCAATTTTAGAAAGTGAAGGGCTCAAAGACAGAGGGAATAAGAGGCAAAGAGTTGAACAATTATAGGGCTAAAAATTTTCAAAATCTTTGTAGAGCTTTCATAAATCCTCTATAAGATGTGGAAGCCACAGCCTCTGAAGTGTCAAAAAGCCAGGAGCAATGCTTTCCTTGGAATGAGCTAAGCAGATCGCTGAGAGGCTGGGTTTAGGGACAAAGGTCACATGGCTATTTCCCCTCTCCTACACAGCCCTGCTCTGTCTTCAACCTCTGCATCTGCTCAGGTCACCTGCCAATTACCTAAGAAACATAACCCTTAACTGTATAGTATCTTTCTTCTTAAACTGTGCCTCATCCTTGTCTTTTATAAAAGATGGGAGAAAAAAACCTACTTCAGATGCAAGGCCTTCATCATTGGGAGATGATATCACCATCAAAATTCTTTCTTGACAGCAATCTATAGGCTAGGGAGAAAATGCATGGTCATCTTTGGTCTACTCCCAGACACATGTCCCTCCTGATTCCTGTAGCCTTCTTTTCTTTTGTATACTACAGGTAACTCAAGATTTGGTAATTTGACAAATAATACCCAGTTCATAGTTAGGTTAATTCCTTCACTCCCCAAACACCCCCCAAGAGATGTTCTGAAAGACAGGAAAAGCAAGAAGGGAAAAAAGGGCTGAATGTACAATAAATACATTGGTTTGACTGCCTTAGAAATATAAGAAATATACACATATGGTCTGAATTAAATTACCCTGAAGTGCTGATGCAGTTAAAGCCATAAATGGGAAAGATTCTCAGAGCCTTCTTTCAGCAAAGAGGTCACTTATGTTCCCAGAATTTCTCTGTTCTTAAGTACAATCACCTCTTACCTGTCAGTTACTCAGCAAAATTTTCAAATCACTGTAACTATAAAAAGTTAACTGTCTCTAACCCCACCCTGGAGGTACTGAGGGAATAAAATTAGAGTTTATATGACAATGGTTTGGGAATTAACACACACTCCACTCTAAATGTATGGAGTGTGCCTCTACCACTTTTTTCTGCCCAACCATGATTGGAAACTAGCTTAGAATATGATCTTGAGCCTATATAAACTTAAAGTTAATACAGAAAAAGCCAAATATTCAGTCTTTACTCGACTCAACTATCCATAACCTGAAACACTAAGACATTAATTATTTAGCTACTCTGCCCAAATGTTGGGGGAGAAAAGATTAGAATTCCTTAGGAATTTTCTTCAGAGATTTAACAAAGAAATTATCTACCCAAGAACAAGCTTTAGAATCTCATAAAACAATTTTTCTCAAGGCCTGCTTCCTTAAAATCAGGATACCACCACCTACTCCATCTTCCTTATTGTAGGGTGGTACAGCAAAAATGCAATGTGCAATCAGATACCATGCATATCTTAACTTCTATCTGAAAACACTCCTTCCAGCAGCCTCCTCTTCTCTGTCCCTCTCCACTACTGCTTCATATCTGCTAAAAAAAAGTGAAGAAAAATGTCTCTGGGGCTGCTGAACCCCACTTTCTAAGGCAGTCAAACCAATGGAAAAACTTATCTGTTTCTACTCCTAAAGTGTTATCTAGAAATCATTAACTCTAAATCCATAGGATTACAGTTAGCCAAGACTTGCATTATGTGTAATTATCCCTCAAGTTGAGGACCACTAGCTAGACACACCACTTTCCCCTTCCCTCATCTAGCCTGCTCTCTATACTTGGGAATTTATGCTCAAAGCTCAGCCAGGAATAATGCAGCATTTCATACAAAGCAAGTCTTCCCATATAGCACAGCTCGTCTAAGCTGGGGAAGGTCCTTGCTGGCTTAGAGAAAACAGTTTCTCACAACCTTCTTCCTCATGTTGAACAAATGTGGCATTCTTCAAAAACAGAGAGGAATCGAGATCCCTCTATGACAAGGGAGAAATCAAATGCCAGGTTCTGGCCTGTTTGGGACCTATAACCACTGTTAACTCCAATCCTTGAGGCATTCAAAATTAAGATCTGGCAGCCAGAGGAGGCAGTGACCTATCCCTTCTTCAACCCAGAATGTTAGAATCACATCACCAAGCTATTACTTTCATTTTATATCATGTAAGGGAAACTCTGAATGTGACTAAGCCTTTTATTTATGTATTTAATTTATTTTTTAGTTTTTCTATCTGTTCTTTTTAGTTATACATGACATAGAATGTATATTGACATATTATACATACATGGAGTAAAACTTCCCATTCTTCTGGTTGTACATGATAAATTACATCGGTTGTGTATTCTTGTATGAACATAGGAAAATAATATCTTATTCATTCTACTATCTTTCTTACTTCCATTCCCCCTGCCCTTCATTCCCTTTGTCTAATCCAAAGCACTTCTATTTTTCCCTTACCCACTACACTGTTATTATGAGTTAGCATCTGCATATCAGAATATTCAGTCTTTGTTTGGGGGATTTGACTAAGCCTTTCTTTTCTTTTTCTTTTTTTTTTTTGGTACAGGACATAACACCTGTGTTTTATTTATTTTTATGTGGTGCTGAGGATTGAACCCAATGCCTTACACACGCGAGGCAAGCCTTTCTTAAATCTGCATTTTTAATCTTCTAAATATTTTAAGGAAGACCTGAATACTTGTTACATAGGCCCTTACTTTTTCCTAAATCTATCCTTCTAGCTTCTAGAAATGAGCATATGGATTTAAAGGACAAGTTTAGGTCCTTCATAAGCAAAATGAAAAACACTAAAAATAAAAGAATTCCTCTTTTCAGTGTGACCTCAAATAGTAGACCTGCCTCCCACTGGTCATTTTATAATAATGAAAAAAACACTGGATGGGGAATTGAGACCTGGGCCCTAGGCCAGCTCTGCCAAAAAACTCACCAGAGAACACAGAGCTAGTGGTTTCACTTTTCCTGTGAGTAACAGAAAAACAGATTAATGATGTTACTAGGTGGTTCTAACTTTTATAGTTCTATTTACCCTTCTTAAAACTCTAAGACTCATCTTTATGATGCCACATACCCACAGGCACATTTCTAATGAATTACCTACAAACAGCTTATATTCAACCTTGCACACTATACTTTCCCAAATCCTGTTAGCCCACTGGAACCCTATGTAATAATACCTGTAAGGTGCTATTCTAAGAGCTCTACCTAAGATTGGGCCATATGAGTTGCCAACATTTAAACATTTCTGTTGTATAAAAACAGCAATTTTGTAAAAATATACTTTTTTAAGTTGTCAATGGGTATTTACTTTACTTATATATAGTGCTGAGGATTGAACCCAGTGCCTCTCACAAGCCAGGCAAGCACTGTTACACTGAGCCACAACCCCAGCCCCTAAACAGCAATTTCTTCAACTCAAACCTATCTATTAATTTTTTGGAGAAAGGTGGGGTATTAGGGATTGAACTCAGGGGCACTCAACCACTGAGCCACATCCTCAACTCTTTTTTGTATTTTTATTTAGAGACAGGGTCTCTAAAAAGTGCTTCACTTTTGCTGAGGCTGGCTTTGAACTCACAATCCTCCTGCCTCAGCCTCCCAAGCTACTGGGATTACAGGTATGTGCCACAGTGCCCAGCTTATTAAATTACTTTTAATCCTCCTACCAAACTCATGAGATAAATACTGCTGATATCTTCATTTTACAAACAAGGAAACAGAAGCATAGAAAACCCAGTAACTTGCCAAAGTCACACAGGTAGTAGATGTTTGGGTTTGCATTTAAACCCAGGCAGCTAGGCTCCTGAGTCTGGGGTCCTAACCATAATAATACATTGCTTCTTGAAATGTAAAAAGGTAAAAAAAAAGAACCGAACACCAGGAGTCCAGACCAAAGTAAAGTCTCAGGAGTAACATACTGACACCTCAGCCTCTGCTGGGTCATACCTTTCACTTCAATGGTGGCATTTGCTTTAGGAGCGCTGACAAAATGGTATACGCAGTGGTATTCGCCTGAATCCTCAGCTCTTGGCTTATTGATCCTGTAGAGATGGGAAGAAAAATGAAGTGAGGTTAACTGGGAATGGTTAAAACATAAACAAAAAGAGACTTAAAAGGAGCAAGCAGAGACCATGCTCTCCAAATCCTGTTCCTTGATGCAACTCACTTCTTCCTAACTGAAAGCAAAAACCTCCCTTTGTATATCCCAAAACATTAATGCCTTATTCCTTACTGGGTGCCAGGAATAAAGAGATGGAATGGACCATGGTCCTTAACCTTAAGATACTCTAGTCCAATGGGGGAAACAAACTACAAAGTTAAGTAATTAAAATATAATGCCACACAAAGTACTATAATTTATACTTAGTATACTTTACACACAACCATCACTAAAAACTTCTTGGTTCCAATCAGAAAACTAAGAGCAGAAGAAACAAACAAAACAAGCCTTTTTGAGCTTTTCTAAAGATCTTATTTAGAAGCATGCCTTTCAGGTAAGTCTACTACTCACTAACAGGACCCAGGTATAATTTGTTTTTCTGCTTTCAAGCAAAGAACCAAATCTGCCAACAAAGAATTATCCACAGAAATGTAGTTTTAAAGAAGGCCCTGCATGATCTGGTTCCTGCCTACCACCCTAGCCTCCCTCATCTCATGCCAATTTCCAGCTGTACTAGGTTTTTGTGTTTGTTTTTTTTTCCCAAAGTGCCAAGCTTATTCCTAGCTCAAAACCTTCACACAAGATGTTATTTTACATGAAATATTCTTCCCATTACTCTTAGCCTACCCAACTCCTTTTCCATTAGGTCTGGGTTTACATGTCACTTCCTCCCAGTCCTAATGTAAATTTCATCCTCCTCCTTGACATTCTCTCTCATACTATCCTATGATTCTTCACAGCACTTATTACCATGTGTAATTAATTATGTATTTATGTGATAGTCTGATTAATGTCTGATTTCCCAACAGATCAAGTTCTACGTAGGTAGACACTGTTTAATTAGAACATAGTTCTATACCCAGCACCTTACTTGGTGCTAGAGTACAGCAGAGGAATGAATGAATGACTAAATGACAGGAATAACTGTTAAGAAGCATGTGTGGCCAGAATAGCATGTCCTTCCTCTCAATCTTACAGGTAAGCCCAAATAAGTTTTCTTGCCCCTGAGAGCCAACTCCATTCCACCTCAGTAGACTCTGGTCTACATATACATATACCAAACACATGTAGAAAGGGTGGTTAGCAGTAACAGAAAACAGAATCAATAATCTCCAGATCATAGGATACTTACATAAGACTGAACTCCTGTTCTTTTGCTCAGTCATTAAAATATGGATACTTGTGATGATCAAATCTCCACTGCACTAATTAATGTCTAATAGAAACTCCCAATCTTGTCTACTGACTGGCCCAAAACCATCTACCCATCTCAACGTTCATTCAAAAAAAAGAAACACAGGTTAAGTGGGGTTGTGGCTCAGTGGTAGAGCGCTTGCCTAGCACATGCGAGGACCTGGGTTCGATCCTCAGTACCACATAAAAATAAATAAATAAAATGAAGGTATTGTGTCCAACTACAACTAAAAAAAATGAATGTTTAAAAAAAATGAGAGATTATAGATTGAGGAGATGCATAGCTCATCCCCAGGACTGTCTATAAATATCCACAGCAGGAGACCATTCTAAGAGGAGTAGTCAAAATGTCTTCCAAATTGACACAAATGCATTGTTTTAAATCTATATGTTCCCAGTAAGAAGAGACACACAAATAAGCTCCTCTTAATAAGTACTCCAGAATTTGAAGGAGAAAGAGTAGCTGTATCTTCAGGGCTCAGACAAACTCTAAGTTCCTTTAGAAATACTTGGGAATAAGACTCCCAAGCTTGAGGCCATGTCTAGGGCACAAAATCTCCCTACACCATTCCCCTGGACTCACTATTGGGAAGAAATTGAAACCAATAGAGGGTTGGGGATGTAGCTCAGTGATAGATCACTTGCCTAATACTCACAGGGTCTTGGGTTCAATCTCTACCACCAAAAAAATAAAAAATTAAAGAAAGAGAAGAAGAAAAATTGAAGATGACAGAGAGTCAAAGAGAAAATGTTTCCTATAAGGTAGGCAGAAGCAGGCTTCTCAAATTGGCTCCATGGCTAACTTATTGAATAGCCAAGTTGTTATTCCAAAAAAATGCAGAATCCCTAGAAAACTCTGGTGATGCAAAACATCCCTGAAGAGCTTCAGATAAGTCAAGAGAAAAATAGGGGAAGAGGCACTTTATAATCAGGTCAAAATCTCCATAACATTAACAGCTCAAAGCTTCGTGGACAACTGCACAAAATCCAAGAGAACTATGACTGGATGTCTGCCACCTTGAAAGAGATATTATAAAAAACAGATCTGTAAAACTAATGGACAGACCATGAATAAATGCCTTCCATTCCAGTCAACATCTTAAACTGATTTAACCCTTTCCAAGCTATCAAGGATATAGCCAAGGCTCTATTTCCAGTATGTTATCAGAAGAAACTACAGTGGAAAAAGGTTAACCAACATACCACTAAATAGTATGGAATAACAGGGAGAAATTTTTCAAAAAATAATTCTAGAAAGTCTGAAGACTTGGAACATTGCCTTGGTTCTAAAACTTATTAAATATATTATTTGGCCTAAAAGCAGGCAAGAATTATTCTTTGAGTCTTAGTTTCCTCACCTGAATAAAAGGAAGAGGATCTACAAATTCATGTGGAATAAATAAGGGGCTGACAAGATCTCAATGCTGCAAAATACTGGAGAATGTCCTTGCTACTACTGCGCACCCAGGCTTTCCCAGCCTCACTCCTTATACTTTTATATCAACCTGCCAAGCAGGATTAGCTGATCCTTTTCCAGATCAATTTCCAAACAGAAACATATTTAAGAAAGCTAAGGTGCTATGCATTCTAAATATTCCAAAAAGCACACCAAATCTTTGGTTGCCAGATAACTCAGACCACCAAGTATGGTCCTTTTTTCAGAGGACATTCCCAGGCCACCATCCTTACTATAGTTTACCAAAAGGCCCTGTATCTGCTGTTTCTGACCAGGTGATGGTGATATTAAACACTCTTAAAAAGTGATTCATGGGGCTGGGGTTGTGGCTCAGTGGTAGAGCACTTGCCTGGTTTCCATCCTCAGCACTGCATATAAATACATAAATAAAATAAAAGATCCATTTACAACTAAAAAATTTTTTTTTAAAAAAGGTAATCCATTAGGGTACCTACCCAGTAGAATAATCACTTGGAGAGACTCTTACTTTAATAAGAGGCTCAAAGCTGATTTTGATCTGATCCCTCAAATCACTGGATTATGTCGAGAGACCTGAATTTTAACAGTGACTCTACTGCTGACTATGCCTTACCCTCAATTTCTCTTTTATCAGAGTAAGGGGAAATCTATGGCTCTCAAACCTGGCTACTTAGTAGAATCATTTGGAAATCTTTACTAAAGATTCTTGAACCTCACATCAGATATACTGGACTAGACTATCCAGGAGAGGAACAAATATATCTCATATCATAGTTCATAGTTTAGTAAATACTTAAATTCACTGAAATAAAAGTTCACTTCTCAGTACCTTCCCTCCCTTTTCTTCTTTGCTCCCACAATTCTACTACCCTACTCTACTGATCTCCCTTCTATTATTATTATTATTATTATTATTATTATTAGTGCTATGATTTTTATTTTAATTAGTGCATTATAATTATATATTAGTGGAATTTGATATGGTACATCTGTACATGGACATAGCATTTATTTGGTAAATTATGTGCATGTATGAATATAGCATAATGAATCCCATTATTATGTGCAATTATAATGCACCAATTTAAAAAGAGAAATAAAGAAGTGAAAGGAAAAAGTTTACATTGCATTTGTTAAATAATGGCCTCAGACTAATCTTTTTAACATCTATATGTAAACTCCTAATAAGACTTGAACAGCATTAGTAAGAAAGGCCCGTAGAGAAACAAGTCAAAACGTGTCAATAAACAGGTAACAGTTTAAGAAACATTTCAATTCACTGTGAGAAAACAGTTCCCAACGCACCTTTTAAACATCATTCTCAGATTCGTCATTTCAACATGTGTATGTAAAGTCTTAATGATTATGACTTACAAAAAGTCAAGTAAGCTCAGCCACACTCCCACCCATATTCCTAAGAGGTGCTAGCCCCTCTCACCTGTATTCCATGTTGCTGGCATTCTTACGAGTGGCAGTCAATTCTACCCCATTCCTTGTCCAGTAGCTGTACGTAAGTGTATGAGAGCTGGAGGTGAGGTTACACTGCAAGGTGACAGGGAGGGCAGGGCTGTCTCGAATAATGACTTCTTCACTGGTGACAATTCTTGGCTCTGCAATTAGAGTGTACAATGATAGGGGGCCAGCGCTTTCCATTGTCTGTAACCCTGGCCTTAGAGTTGGGTGGGATAGGAAGGGGAAATTAGAAGAAAAGGGAGGGCAGACAGGACCACATGAGGACTTTCACTTTATCACTTTGGAGGAAGTCAAAAAAGGAAAAACAATGATTATAAGCAAATGACCACTAGTGCAGACAAAGCCTGAAGACCAGTTGGCCTAGACGTGAAAGAATGGGAGTATTACAGGTATATGTACTGGCAACAATTTTTGAATACCACCTTTTTCTGATATAAGAATCAGCGACCAATTCAGCTTCAACTAGAAAACCAGACTTTACTTTGCAGTTCTAAAAACAAAGGCAATATCATTTCTATAACTAATAAACTCTCTATGAGAGTCATTGGAGTCTACACCTATTAGAATAGTAATAAGTGTAATTAAATAATACATGTATGGCTTTCCCCACATTTAAATCTGTTAAACCTGTGGCAAACCATTCATGGCCATTATTTATGCAAAAAAAGTGTATATCCTAAAAGCAAACTTCCCACTGGAAGTCTCTTGAATTTTCTGAATTTTAAGGAGGGAAAATTCTTAAAGAACTATCAGTTCTTCTTCTCTTCAGCCCATATTTATTCCCCAAACATTTTTTTCCACAATTGCACTTTAAAACATTCAATTTCAAAATAATACACTATAGTGCAATGTCTTGGAATTATGAGCTACAAGAATTTTAGAGCTGCAAGGCCCTAAGAGTTTACTAAATACCTCTTTTCAAGAGCTAGAAAGGTGAAATGACAAGGCTGTAATTATTATTAGTGGCAAAAATGGACCTAGAAAACACATCTGATTGAATTCTCTATCCCTTACCCCCACCCCCCAAAACACACACCTCACCCAAACTTCCAACCTAAGGCAAGATATGTAACTTTACTTTCTAGTTCTATCCTGGGCTTAGATAAACTGGGATCACCAGTTTACCTACAAAAATAACCTATATATTAGTCAAATATAACACGGCAGAAAAACTTTAAGTCACACTATCATTCCTGGAAGGTTTATCTTTAAAGCATTTTGAAATCTTCGTTGCATTAAAGTCTGGAGGTTTCTAGGTTATCCTATCTTTTGTTGCTATTATTATTAGTCTTTAACCTTTTCCTAGGCTATTATTTTTCTATTTTTGGTCAAACATTTTCAGGTGAGGTCTACACTAACCATCTTTTCTCATCCACATTAAGGGGTATTTATTTGTGCGCCCCCCAGTTCTTTCTCAGAAACCCATGATTGACTTCCCATTACCCTGTATCTGACTACTTCCTGCCTATAGCAGCTTCCTGTCCCAAGCATTTTTCCTTTGCCATTTTATGTAGTATAGTTCTGATTATAAAGAACAGAATTATCTTCCTCTACTGGAACCATTCTGTTATTGTTCAGGGAGGGGAAGAGGATGGAACAGTCATGGGATACTTGGAAAACATAATGCCTTAAGATCTCCTAACCAATTTAACATTTCTGACAACAAAGTTCACATTGTCAAACAAACTTGTGATAAAACAAACCCTTTAAGTTTTTCAATTAACAAAGTGGTTCTAATTAATTTCCAATTCTAGCAAAAGGATAGTGGTTATCTTCCATTCAGCACTGGTTCTTATCAGTAACACCAAACAGGGTCTCTATGTACAGATAATGGAGGCATAGCAGCCACTAAGACAAAAGCAGATGCATGTGAACATGTTAGCGCAGTGGTGTCCCCATGGTTTCCAAGACACACTGGACAGAAGCCAAATCCCTGGGCCTTAAGAAGTCGAGCTGAATGGCTGCAAACCCTGCAATGAAAGGCGCACACACACCATCAGCAGAAAGCATCACAATTCCAAGAAAAATCAAAACCAAGCAAAAACAAAAGAGAAAAAAGAACCAGTACTCCACAGAAGAGAAATTAAAAAATATCAAGGCAACATTAAAATCCAAACACACTTTCAGGTTTTTACTAAATTTTTATTATCCGATTTCACTTTCCGCCCCACTTGGGACTCTCCTTCGGTTTCTTCTTCTCAGATTGCACTGAGAAAGGCTGAACTCTGAGAATGAGGCCAAGAGTTTCCAGATGTTTAAATACAAGGAGGCCAAAATAAATGCTATTCTTACCTGTAGCGATGCAAATGACCATTGCAGCTCAGGGAGATTAAGAAGTTGATGAAAGTAATCTGGTAGACATTCTGCCAAGAATTCTTGGAAGGCAAAGGAAAGCACTTTTCCCCTTAATGTTAAAAGATCCATGAGAGAGTCAGTTGGGAGCAAGTGGATAATTTAAATAGGCTTAAATATGATTCTGCAGCATAGGAGGGTTGTGGGGTAGGTAGCCTCCTATGTATTGCTGTATATGGAAACCAGTGCTTGACCAATCCTTGGCCATGGCGCCATATCTGCATTCTGCACCCAGATGAAGGTGGGACTTTTATTTCTGTGGCCAAGTACTTCCAAAGTTCGAGAGAGATGAACATTTAGGAGAAGTTCAAACATTTTTATCTGCCACTGACTTTTATTTAGAAGCATCAGGTAGGACACCCTTATCCTAGTAATCATGCATAAAGAAAATGCTATGGCCACAGAGACACCCTAAAAACAGGGCACATTTCTCTTCCTGCATTACATCATTCAAAGAACTTTGGGAAAAGTATTGCCAGGGGGTTATTCTTAGAAGACTTCAACCTCCCCAGAGAGGCAATTTCTTCTTGGATGCCTAAGATAAAACAATTACAGTTGAATTTAGGGTGTTCATGAAAGAAAAAAAAAAGGGGGGGGGTAGGGAGCAACAAACAGCTAACTTGGGTTGAGTGACTGATTGGGAAGTCTAGGGTAAGAATGACTGGCCAGGATTTGGTTAACTACATACAAACACTCTTAAGGTAGGAAGCTTATTTCTAAGTCAATGGGAGAATGCTGTGTACTTCTGGGATTGATGGGTAGGCACCTCATCTTTTTCTAGCCCCCAGGCCTAGCCTTTCTAGCTATGAGCCAGGCTCTTGGAAGAATAACTACCAAATGCCCAGTCCTGTCCATGCCTAAACTTCTGCAGACTTTTGTGGCCATATGAGAAATTCTGATGTTATAAGGAAAGGAGCAAGGGGGCAGGAGAAGGAGGCGTGCAAGGGAAAAAATTGTTAAAAAGAAAAGAAAAGAAAAGAAAAATTGCTGGGTTAATGTTCCCCATTTTCACATAGACAAGGTTTTCTTTTCCCCCTTTACAGAGCAGGTTCTCTGATTCAACACTGCCAACTGCAGCAGCCTATCCTCTAAGGCCTATCGCAACCCCCACAGAAATCTTCGCCAAATAGCTACAAAGAACAAACATTAATGTGCTATTTTCCATATGCAGATTCAGAGCCCATGTCACATTACCTCCTGTGTTATTACCAAATTCCTCATAAAATAGTACTTTATTACTTTTACTCTATCAGTCAGGTCTTTAAGCTAGAAGTGGCTATAGGTCTCTCACTGAGCCCTTAAAGATAATGTGAAAAATCCACATTCTTCTTCTATCAAATAGAGAATGTAACCTCAATTATAACTAGGTCTAAGATGGGGCTGAAACACTTCCTGGTCAAGAGCATTAGTTCTATGGTGCCTCTTCCTCTTTCCTGTCATACAAAGCAAAAGTCACTTTCCAGAAAAAAGAAGTGAGCACAAAAGCTGCTATGTCAGATGTCTCACTTGTGCCTACTATAATAGATGAAGGGGAGAATTCTGACCCCTATACTCAGCTTACTCCATCACTCAGAGAAATAGTGTTGTATTTAAGACATATCTTTAAGACATAAAGAGAAGGCCATTGTGAATGGCTTCCAAACTACTTCAGAGGCTGCCATCCTCTGGTATGAGGAACACTGTGCCAACAGTCATCAAAGTCAAACTATCTGTAAATAGAAATCAGATGCAACTGGACTTTGAGACATGGTGATGGGGCTTTAAAAAAATATTTTGCAGCTTTGTATCACCTAGCTCCTAATGGCAAGCAAGACATGGAAGTAATCTTGGGCTGCTGCTTAAAAACAAACAAAAAACAGGGAAATGAATGTATAGGCCCAGTGAGGGATGTACTGCTGCAGTGGAGGGTTGCTGTCAGAGAAGAACATGCCACTGTTTTAGAAAAGAAAAAGAGCTAAAACTATGGAAATATCCAAGCTTATGTGCCATCCAACAATCAAAACATATCACCACACTGCACCCATGGCAACATTCCCATCACAGAACAGGATGACACTAAGTTACAGTGAGGGAAGAGGCTGGGCAGACACAAACTTAAAACCATAGAGGTGAAGGCAGCTACTCAGAGAGCTTCAAACAGATGAACAGAAGAAATAAAAAGTAGTTAGACTGGGGAGAGAAACAAAAATAGAAAGGCACCAGAGGAGAAACCAGCAAAAGGATAGCAGGAAACCTACTACAAAATTAAAGGGAAGGGAAAGAAACAATTTCAACACTACCCTTGTTTGACTGCCTGATTTTATATTTGATTTTTTTTTTTTTTTAACTTCCCCAGTTCTCCCTTCCCACCTCTCCCCAACACGGATGATTTTGGACAGTCATGGATTTCCTCAAGTTCTTTGTTCCTGAAGAGAAAGACACAGAGAAGGGTGGGGAAATAAGGGAGGCAGAGAGGACGGCAAAGAAGAAAAAAAAAAGTTGCCACAGATGTTTTCATACACTACAACCAGAAGGGTCGTGGGTTTGAAAAAACGAAGACAAGGGGTGGGGTGAGCGATCATACTGGGGAAGAGGAAAAGGTAGCAGAAGGGAAGGGTCATCGGGCCACCTCTAATGACTACAGTACTACTACTGTAGGGTGCTGGACTCACTCTGAAGGACGCTTATGGTGGCCTGGGCTCGAATCCATGTTATGGAGGGGTTTTGCCTCAAGTCATTCCTCTTGGGGTCGTTGCTGGCCCTGCACTCGTAAGTCCCAGAGTCCTCCAAGGTGAGCCGGGTTATT